GGTTGCAGCCATCATTGTTGTTTGGCGGGCCCGGGCTGGATTTGAACCCGCCACCTTAGGTGTATATGGCTGGCGCCTTAGCCACTCGAGCCACAGGCACCAAGCCAGAACACATTATTCTTAGTAAAGCATCACAAGAATGGAAAAGCATGAATCCTATGCATTTAATTTTGATATGAGGACGATTAATAATACGGTGGGAGAAGAGGAGAGGAGAGAAAGAGGAGGGAGGGGGTTAGGGGAAGGAAGAGCAGAGAGAGGGAAGGAGGGAGGGGGTGGGGTCTTGGTGTGTGACACACCTTTTGGGGGCAAGGCACAATTCTAAGAGGGACTTTACCTAACAAATGCAATCAGTGTAACTTGGTTTCTTGTGTCCTCAATGAATCCCCAACATTAAAAATAAAAAAATTATCACCCAAATGTGAAACCCTAAAAAATAAATTAATAAATAAATAAAAGCTCTTCTATATGGCTTTTCATGTCTTGGCCCCACTTTCTCCTACAAGTCCCATCTCAACATCCCCTTCCCACTTTCTACATAACAATCATTCTAAACCACTTGCTATTTTATATTTCTACACTGGCTGTTCCTTTGCTAAGAATACATTCCATCCCACCCACTGTCTACCTGGCAAACTCCTATTCATCCTTCAAAGCCCATTTCAAATACCACTGCTCCTGAGACAGCATCTCTTCCCTGCATTCCACTATGATACTTATATATATGTATATAGTAGCATTTATTTATATACCTGTCTCCCTGAGCAGTCTATGCATTCTAAGTTCAAGGTCTATACCCAGAATTACTTGTCTCTGAACCTCAGAAGCCCCTCAGGAGTTACAGGGGGCCTCATTAACACAGTCATCAGCCAAATACCTGCAGGTACAACTTTGTACAGAGAAGTCATTCTTTTTTTTTTTTTTTTTGAGACAGTCTCACTTTGTCGCCCTTGGTAGAGTGCCATGGCATCATAGCTCATAGCAACCTCAAACTCTTGGGCTTAAGCGAGTCTCTTGCCTCAGCCTCCTCAGTAGCTGGGACTATAGGCACTCACCACAATACCCAGCTATTTTTAGAGGCAGGGTCTTGCTCTTGCTCAGGTTGGTCTTGAACCTGTGAGCTCAGGCAATCCACCTGCCTTGGCCTCCCAGAGTGCTAGGATTACAGGTGTGAGTCACCTTGCCCTGCCCAGAGAAGCCATTCTAACATGAAAACATTCACTAATGAGCTAGAAGGAGCCCCCAGACAAACACCCCTCCTTGCATTTCACCACCATCTGCACATGTAAGCTTTTTCTGAGGCAGCTGCTCTCAGATCACACAAGACAAATACAAAACAAAATGACTGCAAGGCAAAAAATGTAGTATTTCATGAAGTTATAAAAGTGATGTTAGATATCTACATTAATAAAGGAGGGCCTGGCAGAGGGACAGGAAGTACTCAAGAGAAAGAAACTCAACAACGATGATCACAGGATTGATATCTCCAAAGAAGCTTATTTGAAGATCTGAGGATTAAAAGTAAGTGGCAAAACTGAGGAAGCCCTTCACCATTTCTGCCAAAGGGACCTTCTTTATGACCATACTGTAATACTAACAGAGTGAGACACTGTATCAAAAAAAAAAAAAAAATTGATGGCCAGGTGTGGTGGTTCACACCTGTAATCCTAGCACTCTGGGAAGGTGAGGTAGATAGGTTTACTTGAGCTCAGGAGTCCAAGACAAGCTTGAGCAAGAGCAAGACCCCATCTCTACTAAAAATAGAAAAATTAGCTAGGTATCATGGTGGGCACCTGTAGTCCCAGCTATTTGGGAGGCTGAGATGGGAGGATTGTTTAAACCTAAGAGCTTGAGGTTGCTGTGAGCTATGATGATGCCACAGCACTCTACCCACAGCAACAGAGTGAGATTGTCTCAAAAAATAATAATAATAAAATAAGGAGAACCAATATCTTTTCCTCCACCCCAGTGCCAAGGCCCAGACCAACTCTGTCAGGCTAGACCCCAGCTGGGAGCCACAGTGTCCCCTTTGAGTAACTCACTGGTCCTGAGCAGTCAGAACTGCCAAGGCCACAGACCCCTGTGCCTACCCGCCAGTCCACAAGGGGAGAAGGAGTTGGAGAGCACATACTTGTAGACAGCGCTGTCCTTCTTGGGGCTGTGCTGTGGCAGGAGGCTGTGGGAGTACTGGTGCACACCCAGGTCGTATAGTGAGGGGAAGTCCTTGCCACAGAGGTGGCAGCGGTAGCTCAGCTCCTCCTGGTGGCTCTTGATGTGCTCCAGAAATGTGTCAAGCTTTGGGAATGTCTGGGCACAGCTCTTGACCACACACTTGTATACCTTGGGGAAAGAAGCAGGTGATAGGAAGCAGGAGAGCTGCCCCTGCTGTGGCATAGCCTAGGACACTGTTGGAAGACCTAACCATTGCTCCCCCTGCTCCCCTGCTGCTGGAGCCCTGGTTTTTAAAAATTCTTTATTAAATCATAACTGTGTACATTAATGCATTTATGGCATACAGTGTGCTGATTTGATATACAATGTGGAATGTTTACATCAAACTGATTAACATAACCATCTCCTTGCTTACTTACTGGTTGTGGTAGAAACATTCATACTCTATTCTGAATAGTATAGAAATGGAGCTCTGGTTTTATTGTGATGATTCACTCCTCCCAGACAGTCACAATGGCCCCTTTACCCTCCCCTCTGGTTCTGTGTAGCATGGGTATATTCAAGCTGTTGCCCTGGGTAGAGTGCCATGGCGTCACAGCTCACAGCAACCTCAAACTGTTAGGCTTAAGCAATTCTCTTGCCTCAGCCTCCCAAGTAGCTGGGACTACAGGTGCCCGCCACAATGCCCAGCTATTTTTTTTGGTTGTAGTTGTCATTGCAGTTTGGCAGGCCCAGGCTGATTCGAACCTGTCAGCTCCAGTGTATGTGGCTGGCACCCTACCCAGTGAGCTATAGGTGGCGAGCCAATATATTTTAGAAAAATTATCCAAGACCTGGTGACAAAATGATCATGAGGCCTTTTAATGTCATACTAAAGGAGTGGCTCTCAAACTTGAGAGGGCATCAGAACCACAGATTGCTGGGTGTCACTCCTGGAGCACCTGATTCAGTAGGATGGCCTGAAAATGTGCCTTCCTAACAAGGAATAATCCGGTGACAATGCTGCTGCTGGCCTGGGGACCTCATTTTGAGATCTGCTATCTACTAAGCCTGCTTAGGGTCATTTCACTTTTTGGGGATGAGGTAAAGTTAAATGTTAACTTACAAAAACCTGATCCAATGCATTGATTTTTGTCAGCTAGAGAAGATAATCCCGAAAGTCATGGGCTTTGCTATCTTGTAGGACATTAACCAGATTGTATTTAATTTAGCAATCTGACTTTAGTATTTTTTTTTTTCACTGACGGTTACTAGGCATAAATGTCAGCATGTCAAATCCTCTTTTGAACCAGGTTTGTCATCCTTCCAGTTCCCTCATTACTGAATTAAGTAAAATTCTGACTCATGCTCAAGTCTCATCTGTATTGTTTTTTTGTTGTTATTGTTGTTTTTTAGAGACAGAGTCTCACTTTGTCGCCCTCGGTAGAGTGCTACAGCTCACAGCAACCTCCAACTCCTGGGCTTAGGCGATTCTCTTGCCTCAGCCTCCCTAGCTAGGACTACAGGTGCCCACCATAATGCCCAGCTATTTTTTGGTTGCAGTTTGGCCAGGGCCAGGTTCGAATCCTCCACCCTTGGTATATGGGGCCAGAGCTCTACCCACTAAGCCACAGGCGCTGCCCATCTGTATTGTTTTTAACATTTTGAAAATTATACTTTGATAGGAAACACATACTGCTGGTTGCCTACACAGTATCACACATTATTCATTCCCAACAAAGTGAACCCTGGTTTGCTCAAGGTAGCAACATGCCAAGTTAACAACACTTGGTCACCCTGGCCCCTTACATCTAGTGTCAGCCATGTGACTCCTTTCTAGTCAATGACACAAAGACAGTAGTCTTTGGGGATGATAGAATGCAAAGGCAAAATCTTCCTTGGAGAAATTCTTTCTGCTTTTTGCATTTATCCTGGCTGGAATACAGACATAGCGGATGGTGATACAGCAGCCAATCTGCAACCTTGAGGATGATTGCCAGAAGCAAAGGTTGGCAGAGCAGAAAGTCAGAAGCAGCCTGAGTCTATAATGACATATCTGACCTGCTATACAAGCCTAAAACTGACTTTCTTTGATGTGAGAGAAATAAAACTCTATTAAGCCAGTTTTCTACTATGTGTAGGATAATGAAGCATTCCTAAATGATAAAGCACCTGCACAGGCTCTGACCAATAGTAGATCCATGGAGTGTTTCTAGGGAATGTTTCCTTGCTGCTAAAAAAGACATAGAAGGCTCAGTGTCCATAGATCAGTGGTTAAGGCACTGGCCATGTACACCAGGGCTGGTGGATTCAAACCCGGCCTGGACCTGCTAAACAAACAAATAACAACAACAACAAAAATAGCCTGGCTTAGAACCCATAGATCAGTGGTTAGGGCACTGGCCATATACACTGGGGCTGGTGGGTTCGAAGGCCAGGCTTGCTAAAAAGAAAAAAACAACAATAACAACTATAACAAAAAAAATAGCACTGGGCATTGTGGCAGGTGCCAAAAGTCCCAGGTACCTGGGAGGCTGAGGCAAGAGAATCACCTAAGCCCAAGAGTTTGAGGTTGCTGTGAGTGGTGACACAGAGTACTCTACAGAGGGTGACATAATAAGACTCTGTCTCAAAAAAAAAAAAAAAATAGCCGAGTGTTGTGGCAGGTATGTGTAGTCCCAGCTACTAGGGAGGCT